GTGTTTACCCGACCTTTTTTACATTTTACTGCTTTATTATATCTGCCCCTTCGGCCTTGTTTAGACAATTTTTTACCACCGTACAAATACCTCTTCCTAGAGTTATTTGTACGGTGTGTTTACCTTTTTTTTAGTAATAATGGGACAAACTGTAAATAATTTTTAGGCTACTAGTTTTATACATACCTATATACAGAGTGACCCAGGCCTTCAAAAAAGCTTTTTACCTATTACGTTTTTGGTTTGTGATTTTTATTTCAATTTTTTTCATAAGATGGGGGCCATTGTAACGCACATTTTCAAAATATTTTTGTCAACATACAGAGTGATTCAAACCGCAATACATATGTTTAATACAGTTCATGAAGGTTGAGACATTTAACTAAAATTTGATTGTCTGATGAAGCTACCTTTAAAAGTAATGGGTTTGTAAATAAACGTAATATTCATTATTATGCGACAGAAATCCCATACTGTAGCACACAGATTTGATACATTTAATGATAAATGCCTTCTATTGGGAGACTAAAAGGTAATTGCCTCGTATCAGAGCCATCATAATACAAGAAGAAGACCGAAAGAGAGAGTCAAATCTTGTCTTATATTTTCAAAAAAACACAATTTTCTCATTAAATATTGATTTTAGGTATAGGAAGTTATTAATAATACAAGATTAAACAACTATTACACAACACTTCATAGGAAGCTATCGATTGCGATCTATAACTAAATCGTTACTAATTACTAATTTTGAAAAGTTCTTTTTAAGATCAGAAAAGCTAAAACTAAAACCTAAACTTCATTTGAAAATCATTTGAGATTAAACAGGAAGTTCTAAATAATGTTGCCTATTCTAAACATGAAAAATTTATTTATAAGTTTTATAACATTTCTAATTAAATTTGGACGACAAGAATATTTCTGTTTGCTGTAAATAAGTTTCTCAGACTCTCTCTCTTGACTTTTAAGTCAAAAAAAGTCAAAAGGACAAGTTATTCCAAAAAAGGACTGTCCTTTTCAAAAAAGGACAGGTGGCAACCCTAGGTATTTCTGGAATGGAAATTTAATGGCAAATCTACAACTTTAGTTTGAAAATATGTTCCGGCCACCTATATTTACAAAAATGTCTAAAATGTGCTTTACCATTGCCTCCATATTCTGAAAAAAATTGAAAGAAAAGTCACCAACCACAAACCTAATATAGAACTGTTTCAGAAACTTGAGTCACCCTGTAAATATGTCAAAAGGTAACTGAAAGTTTATATAGAAGTAACTGAAAGTTTAAATTGAAAATCGACGTTGGAGCGACTTTCGAAAACTATCTACTAACGTTTCAACATAAGTATATATGGGATATTAATTATATTATTATATTAGACCTTATAACAAAACTCATCTGACGAAAAAGTGTTAACGTAGTATATTAATATGGAGTAATTTTACTAATTACTTTACTTTTACTTTACTAATTAAATTTCTTCCAAAAAACTATACGCCACTGGCCATTAGAACAATCCAAATGCGCCTAGTTGCCGGGGTCGGAATTTTTAGACTTCTCTGTCTTTTCTGTCCTTGTTTGACACATTGGAATGTTTGATACACATACAACGAGTATTTATGAATGAGATGTTCGGTCTATCTTTATAATGTCTTTGTTCTTTAATAAAACTCGCCTTTATTTTTTTCCTAGAATCCGAAAATCAATTAATATTATATGGTGTTTCATTATAATAAATATAACTTTGATGTGTAACTTTTTTTTAGGAGATCCTGTATAGTTATGCTTTCAGTTAACCTACATATGCTGCCAAAATTTCATTAAACTACCGTTCTCCTTGGAAGTTCCGCGACGTATGAGAGGCGCCACCCTGTATTAACCCTCTATAGGGCTGTATTAATTATTTTCTAGTTTGATCAAATTGACTTCAAAAATATATAAACCAGCACAAAGGGAGCATATCTTCTTAGAAAATGCTTAGACGACAATAATTATTACCTATATGACACACAGCAAACACAGTGTCACCAATAGAAATCTATTTTTAGGCTAAATAAATACAACATTATTTTCTGAATTTTACATTAGGTGTTGATTTTACATTTTCTCTTCTCTTAAGTCTAGCCGAGTCCTTGAAGTCGTAAACGTATTCTCCAGTTTTATACGAAAACACTCATTACAATTCCACGGCATATTTGCTTTAAAGTTTAAACGCATCACTCTTATTTACCCTAGTTGTTCAAATTTCATTTATTATTTAGTAATCATAATGGTTTTCAAGCCAACGCATTACAGCATAAAATATTACTTCAAAATAAAATAGTATACGGAGGAAAAAAATCTTAACAGGACCTGCACAAGAGGGTGCAGGATATAGAGGTAGGTGACTGGGTATGTAGATATAAAAATGGGACAAACAAAATAAGCCTTACAGGTTACAGTGTTTCTTAGGAAAAAAAAAGAAAATAAATGTCATGTTGGATTATGTACAAAATCCTAAAACTTTAGTAGATACTTCAATATCGAAAGACACTAGGCTAAAAAAATGTACGAGAAAAAAAACAGAGTTATTATTCTAGCATGCCTTAACATGATAATAATAATTTCAAATAATATTTGAATAAGCTCTTTCAAGAATATTGAACACCTACACATATTTTGATAGAATTATTATGTTTGCTACGGAAATAGGACTGGTATTTTCTTTTCCTATAGATAGACATTATTTTTTGCGTAGTATTTCTAAAAATAAACATAAAGGATTATAATATTTGTTTTCAAGATTACCCGATTATTTTTATTAGAATTTTTCCTGTTCTATTTTTTAATAAATAACTTCGTTTTTTCTTCAACGTTTCATTAATTTGATATTTTGACTTAACTTCATTGAAATTTGATTATCATTTAATGTAAGATGCATAATTAAAAAATAATTTCTAAATTAAGATATTGTATCAGTTTTGTTAATTTTTAACAGAAAAAATATCCTAATTCCTTCTCTCAGCGAATATTTTGTTTAATTTACAACATTTTTTTAGTTTATCACACATTTATTTATATAAATATACAATTAACGCTTAGAAATTGCAAAAACAATAATTTTTTCATTAATATATTAATAATTTTTATTTATACCTAATGTAAATCAAGCTTTATCAGTAGAAAACAGTCTATACTAGGCTTAAGGCCGAGCCGTCAACTTGTCAATTCAAAGCCACCCCAATTTTTTGGCAAAACGTCAGTGCGCTGCTCTAGTGTCGTGGGAGTAAAGAATTACGCGAAATGTTTCATGTTTTTTGTTAATTATTCTTGAAAAAACTGATTATAGTAGTGATTGAGGTAGCGAAATGTGCTCCTGAATAATTCTTGTACCTGTTGAACATGTAAGTTTTTCCCGATTCTTTAATATAAGACTTTCTTGACATAAAATAAAATGAAAAATTAGCAGGTCTCAATAAAAAACCTCTGATTTTTCGCTGGCTAACTGGATTAAACCGGATATTACAAATTTTTAAAACATTTTAATAAAAAAACGTACGTTGTAAGAGCAATATTTTTATAATTTACAGGAAAAAATGCTATTGTTATTATTGATATTTATTATTAGAAATAATTGACATACATAGATATGTAGATTCTATTAAATTTTCGGATTACAAAAACTATCAGCATTATTTTAGTAGTTTTGTTTTCTCGATTTTTCGTATACAGGGTGTCCCAATATTCCGTGGACAGAGAACTAATACGTATTTTTGGAATCATTAATATACAGGGTGGTCCGAACTGTATTCGGGAAACTTCGGCAACATATTCTGCAGATAAAAATAAGTAAAAAAGTTCGTATAAACGTATGCCCTTAAATGCTTAGTTTCGGAGATACAGGGTGTAGAAGTTTCATTTTTATTTCGATTTTTTCCAAATAATTTCTGAAGTAACGTCAATATTTGGATGAAAACTAGTGTCTGGGAGTTTTTTTTGACACGAGAAGTTTGATTTTGATGTCAATATGATTCCTATTTGTAGGGGGCGCCACCTACATGTGTTTTAACTGTTTTGAAGAGTAATAACTTTTCGTTGGTACCTGTATAAAACTACTGGGTAAAAAATATACATTTCCGCTACGAGCAACCGTTCTTAGAATGAAAACAGTCAATACATGTCATTATTGACAAAAAATAAACATGTTGAGTAGATAGTTATTTGACCAAAATGATAAATTTGGGAACTTTCTATTTTTTTTTAAATTAATCATAAATTTTTCTTTGAAAAAATAATGATAAATCTCTTTCTGTTGAACTTTTGGCACAGAAACATTTCAAATTTATGATTTCAGTCTAATAATTGTTTTGTCAACATGTTTAATTTATGTCAACGACGACGGGCATTGATAATTTCGATTCCAAATATCTCGAGAACCATTACTCACAGCCGTTTTTACCAAGAGATCTTTTTTACGTAAAACACGTCGTAAACGTATATTGTTTACTCAGTAGTTTTAAACAAGTACAGATGAAAAGTTATTACTCTACAAACAAGTTAAAAAATATGTATGTGGCCCCCTCTACAAGTAGGAGTCATATTGACATCAGAATCAAATTTATCATGTCAAGAAACTTCCAGACACCAATTTTTATCCAAATATTGACGTTACTTCAGAAATTCTTTCGAAAAAATCGAAATAAAAATGAAACTTCTACTCCCTGTATCTCCGAAGCTAAGCATTTTAGGACATACATTTATACGAACTTTTTTACTTATTTTTATCTATAAAAAAGGCTGCTGAAGTCTCCAGAATACAGTTCGGATCACTCTGTGTATCTCAATCCTACTACAATATGATTAAAAATAAACGGCGTCAGCGATGGCAATAAAATAAAGATCGGTTTCATTTTATATGTAAAATTATATGGGGAATGCCATCGATGTTTACTTCCAAGCCAACAGGACGCCGTTTTTTTTGATCATACGGTAAATTTTATGTACTCGTGGTCTAAATATTTACCTTAGAGTCTTTCCATCCTACTAAGGGCGGAAAGCATATCACAAAACTTAGAACCCAGAGTCCCGCTACCAGCATCTTGGCTCTGGACCTTGACATTATGCTCGGATACGTTATAGGCCTTGTTACCGCTACGTATCTGTCCAAGGATATGGCACACAGGTTCAGAATAGAGGCGGTGCACATCCAGACGTCAACTGCCAGCCACACTTTGCACCAAACGTCACCAAAAGTCCACACCTGTAACAAAAAAATAAAAGAATATTTAGTAAATGCATCTTTTGCCAGTGTTGCCAGAATTTCTCGAGTGAATTTCTTCAACGAAACCTTAAAAACCCTTCATATTCCTTCAATTTCACAAAAAAATTGAAGATCTTGTAAAAAATCAACAAATTTCATGTAGTAATTTGCCTATTTTTTAATTAGGAGAAAATTTTTAAAAACTTATTTCTGGTAATATTTAAATAATTTTTTTAAAAATATAAGACGATCAAAAATAATGCTCTGATAGATATTCGACAGCAGTGTAAAGTATGTTTCAAAAAATTAATTGCTAACAATGACTGCCCGAACCTAGAATAATTTATCGTGCGAGACGCCATGATCAGCTGACTTATTAGATATTTAGCTTTTCAACATCAGGAACTTTGGTTTAGTTATGGTACCTATGTGTGCAATAAGTCGTGTTAATAGTTATTTTTTATACAAGACAATAAAATGGTATTTTATCGTCGACAGAAAAGATTAATTCACGCGCGATGAAATCGCAAGTGAATTAATCTCGGGAGGCGATAATGCAATTTTATCGTTGTTGCGGTTGTGTATAAAACAATATTTTTTTTCCATAGCGAATTACGTTTTAAAAAATATTCAGAAATTATTATTTCAAGGAATTTATTACGAGTAGAAAAAATATTGAGCTAGGTTGGCGTTGGTTTCTATCATAGTATAAGGAAACTAGTAGTTTTACTCCTTGTCAAATCCTTTGTTCTTTTTCTGCCACTTTATATGACCTTGTTCTCGCCTCCCGTGACCACTGACGTTGCTGTATAGTCGTGGTCTATTAACTAGGCAAAGTATAGTCGTGGCACTCGCCATAGTTTCACAGATATGTATTTAGGAAAATATGAGTTCACAATAAAATAAAATAAAAAAATTGATCATCGAGTAAAAACTTGCTTGAAAACAGAATATTTTCACATTTCGCGTAGGTAAAAATTCTTCTGTATCTGAAAATCTTCTGATTGGAAGAAATGCGAAAAAAATATATAATGACATATTGTTATATTATTATCTATTTCAGAGATTTTCTACAACTTTTTTTTGATTTAAAACAAGTTTAATTTTCTGTACATAACTGGATTCGGCATAAAATTCTGCATATAGCACACCGTCTTTATTTAAAGCACACTGCGGTGTGGCCATTCTATTTCTTATTTACTAAAACTTTGGTTAAAAACATTATATACGAAAGGTGGTAAAAAACTAGAGTGAATATAACTTTATTAATTCTTAGCTATGTTTTCTTAAACACGAAGGATACCAGAATAAATTCGTGTAGAAAAATTTACTTTATCGTATACAGGATATTTTTTAAGGCGTCACCAAAATCGTAATATTTAAAATATTGTATCTCATTTTTTTTAAATGCAACACCTTGTATATAATTTTTCTTTCAGATGTAGAATTAAAAGGTACACATTTTTTGTATTTAAAGTGTTCCTAAATTTTTAGCCGTTTTGCAAATATTTTCTGTATTTCATTATATATGGGATTTCCAACGATAAAATATCAGACAAAGATCATATTAGGTGGCTTTGATAAAAATTTACTGTTTAAAGAGCCATATGTAATATAATACTGCGAATATTTGCGAAACCGTTAAAAATTTAGAAACCCTTTAAATAAAAAAAATGTTCACTTTTTAATTCTGCATCTGACAGAAAAATAATATACAGAATGTGGCATTTAAAAAAAAATGAGATATACCATTTTAAGTATTCCGATTTTGGTGATGCCATAAAAAATACCCTATACAGGGTGTCCCAGAAATGAGTGCAGCAATCCAACACAGCAGCTATGCTATCCGGTGAAATAATCCTCTTTCAACGGTAAAATGAGTGCGAAATAGAATAATGTATATAGAATGATGTAAAATAATTTAAAAAAAATAAAACTAACTTTATCATAACTCTTTTGTGACATCCTGTATATAACAAAATATTTTAGGATGCGCCCCTTTATAAACCTTGAAACATATGAATAAAACTTTTTTCACATCTTCGACAACGACGACGATATTGGACTTCCTCGCACTAATGGGCCACCCTGTATATTTAAGGTGGTTTAAAACTAGGTGTGGTACTTTTCTTCCCTCAAATATAAACTCAATATTTTGTCTATAATATTTTGAATATTGTTATATTACGACCACTTATCATAAAAAATAAATACAGTCCACTAAATTTATAAGAGATTATGCTATTATAAAATTCTTTCAATTAAAAAATATGAATAATTTGCGGAGACTTTAGATGTACAAAGTATTTACTCTAAAATTGTTCCAAAAATAAATCTATATAAATTATCTCGTAAACTATTATTGAAATGAACATTTTATGGCAAATCCCCTGACCAAAAATATTTTCATGCGCATATTTGAGACAACCTGTATATCTAAAAAACTATTTTTAAAATCTGCCCACATGCTAAAAAAAATAATAACATTTAATTAATTACATAATATCTCAGCTTCTAAAATAACCAAATATAATTAAATGTTAATTGATAATTACTATCAGCTTGCCGATTTATATCCGATGGAAATCTAAAAAAACTCAAAGAACAATTTTTTGAATTATTACTACAATTAATAGCAGCACACAGTAATGCACTCATTTTTTTTATCAATCCGTCTCTGTGCTGGAACGCAACGCTCGAACCTCGCAGCTCGACGGACGGAATTCAACTGAAACGCTTTGCAACCTGCCGATATTCGACAGCTTGCAAAAACTGGCAGAAAATATTTGCGAGAGTGCAACTACTCTTTTCTTTAAACTATGTTTCTATGTTATTTGACAAATAAATAGAGCCGTCTCTTTAGTTGTCAGTTTTGAGTCAATATTTTTTAATTCTCTTTCGTGTCGATTGCTGATTGAATTGAAGACAGAAATGGCTCAAAACGAAATAAGTAAATTACCAACAGATATTCAGGCTGAGGCGACAAACGCCTTATCCAAACTACTTCTATTTAAATCCCGAATAACTTATGAAAAGGAATACAATTTTTTTTAAAAATTGAAGCAATTAAAAAACGTGCGAGAAGAAATAAAGTTTTTAACGATAAAATATCAGACAAAGATCATATTAGGGGGCTTTGATAAAAATTTACTGTTTAAAGAGCCATATGTAATATACTACTGCGAATATCTGCGAAACCGTTAAAAATTTAGAAACCCTTTAAATAAAAAAATGTTCACTTTTTAATTCTGCATCTGACAGAAAAATAATATACAGAATGTGGTATTTAAAAAAATTACCATTTTTAGTATTCCGATTTTGGTGACGCCATAAAAAATACCCTATACAGGGTGTCCCAGAGTGCGTAATAAATAAGGCTCCAACACAGCAGCTATGCTATCCGGTGAAATAATCCTCTTTCAACGTTTAAAATCCTCGCTGTTAAAATATTATTTAATCTACACTTGCGGTTAAGGTACCTACTACACACACCTAGGGATATCCTTTTATTAAAGTTAAAAATAAATGTTTTGAATAAACAACCACATATTTGTAGCCGATTCTTTCTACTTCGATCGAAACGAAGTAGTCACACTAGTTATTTCTAAATTTGGGATATTTGCAGAAGTGTTTGTGCATTTTTTTTCAAATGTATAAAAAGCACCTAGAATCAATTGTTCAAATTTAACCTGTACTGGCTATGTTTTATGATGACTTGCCAGAATTCATTCAAATAACTCTGTTTAGTATTAAACAACGTTATGGAGCGTAGACGAAATGCTAAGGGCCATGGGTATGCTCGAAGCTGGAATGCGCCAAATCGACGTAGCTAGAGCATTAAATACAACGCAAAGTGTAATATCGCGATTAAGTGCACGCTACCGTAAAAGTGGTGATCGCATTACTACCCCTCAGCAAGATCATTTTTTACAATTAAATGCTCGACGCCGACCAACTCTTACAGCACCAGAGCTTAGTTTAATTCTCCAGGAAACACATAATGTAACCGTTAGTCCTGACACTGTTCGCAATAGATTAAGAGAGGTCAACTTAAGAAGCAGACGCCCCTGGAGAGCTCAACCCTTAACGAGAGGAAATCGAGAGGTACGATATTTGTGGGCTCAAGATCATGTTCAGTGGTCGAATGAACATTGGGCCAATGTTCTCTTCACGGATGAGTCACGCTTTGGATTACATCCGGATTCGAGAAGGCTTAGGGTATGGAGAGAACCGGGAAATCTTATTCGGTTGGATCATGTTCAGGAAGTGCACCCTTATCAAGGTGGAACAGTTATGGTCTGGGGAGCAGTCCAATTAGGCCGAAAAACCGATCTCGTTTTTCTTGAAAGGTTTCTAACAGGAATCACATATCGTGATTTAATTCTTGAGCCTGTCGTGTTACCATATGCCAATGATTTTGGGAGAAACTTCATTCTCATGCATGACAATGCACGGCCTCGTACAGCCAGAGTGGTAAGTGAGTTTATCAATGCTCATCAATTAAACATCTTACCCTGGCCGGCACAATCTCCTGACCTCAACCCCATCGAGCACGTATGGGACGCGGTCCAAAGAAGAATTTTGAGAATGGGTATGCTTCGTGAAACTCGTAGGGATCTGGTTCGGGCCGTGAATGCAGCGTGGCAGGCTGTACCTCAAGAAGAGATCGACAACCTGATCAGGAGCATGGAGAGACGATGTAGGGCTGTAATGAACAGTAGAGGGGCCATACACTTTATTAAGTTAAAATGGTTTTATCTTTTTTTTTAATTCACAGTTTAGAATAAAAAAAATGTGTGTTTTTTGAGTTCAATAAAAATCAAGCTCTGGACCTTGACATTATGCTCGGATACGTTATAGGCCTTGTTACCGCTACGTATCTGTCCAAGGATATGGCACACAGGTTCAGAATAGAGGCGGTGCACATCCAGACGTCAACTGCCAGCCACACTTTGCACCAAACGTCACCAAAAGTCCACACCTGTAACAAAAAAATAAAA